CTCCTGAGTGAGATCTATGCACCTATGAAGTTTCATGTTGATATCTCATAGGCTTTTGGAGTTATGCTCTGGACAAAAATCAATTTTGAAAAATAACAAAGGGCAATAACTCAAAAATTATGCAGGGTAGAGTTATCATTCTTAAGCACTGTACTCCTCCTCAATGAGGTCTATCCACCTATGAAGTTTCAAGTTGATAACTCAAATACTTTTAGAGATATGCTCCGGACAAAAATGTCGGACGGAAGGACGGAAGGAGACTATTTCTATATCCCCCGCCGCCTTTTCGGCGGGGGATAAAAAGAGGCAGAGCCAACTCATCGAAAACACTGCAATTGCAATTAGAGAATGAGCAACAAACAAAGAATTTCATTATTTTTGAGCAAGTATTGGCAGAATTCACTGCAGAAAATGATTTATCGCATAAAAACAATGATGAAATAGAAAATGACTTGTTGATGGCAGACAAGGTATATGTGGCATATTAAGAACACAATGACATTACAGTGTTAAAAATGTCATTCTTTGCCATTGATGAAACTGGTTTATAAAGAAACATAGCAGGCTGTCCAGCATCCATAACATTCCTAAACAAGAGGGCCATAATGGCCCTAGATCGCTCACCTGACCCATCAATCTCATCCGAACAATTACCTAGACAAGCATTCTGACCAAGTTTCATGACAGGTGAGTCAAAAATGTGACCACTACAGTGTTAACAAGGATTATCCATATTTGAGCAGTGTGACCTAGTTTTTTACCCAGGTGACCCATATTCAAACTTGACCTAGAAATCATCAAGAAAAACTTTCAGACCAATTTCCATGATACTTGGACCAAAACAGTAGCAACTAGAGTGTTAACAAGATTTTTCTACTTTTAGCTCCGATGACCTAGTTTCACATGTGATTTCGAACTCATCCAAGCAATTGCCCAGACAAGCATCCTGACCAAGTTTGATGATAATTGAGTCAAAAATGTGACCACTAGAGTGTTAACAAGGTTTTTCCATATTTGGGCGGTGTGACCTAGTTTTTCATCTGAGATGACCCATGTTCAAACGTGACTTAGAAATCATCAAAACAAACTTTCAGACCAATTTACAGGATATATGGATCAAAACAGTAGCCACTAGAGTATTAACAAGATTTTTTAAGCTCCTGTGACCTAGTTTTTCATCCGAGATGACCCATGTTCGAACTAATCCGAGCAATGACCTAGACAAGTTTCCTGACCAATTTTGATAACAATTGTGTCAAAAATGTGACCGCTAGAGTGTTAACAAGAATTTTCTATTTTTAGCTCCTGTGACTTAGTTTTTCATCCGAGATGACCCGTGTTCGAACTCATCCAAGCTATCATCTAGACAAGATTCCTGACCAAGTTTGATGATGATTAAGGCAAAAATGTGACCGCAAGAGTGTTAACAAGGTTTTTCTATTTTCAGCTCCGGTGACCTAGTTTTTCATCCGAGATTACCCATGTTCGAACTCATTCGAGCTATCACCTTGACAAGCATCCTTACCAAGTTTGATGATGATTGAGGCAAAAATGTGACCGCTAGAGTGTTAATAAGGTTTTTTTGTATATTAGCTCTTGTGACCTAGTTTTTCATTCAGAATGACCCATGTTCGAACTCATCCAAGCTATCACATAGACAAAGTTATCTCTCTTGAATGTTGGACAATTTTGAATTTTCAGTTTCAACGCTCATACTTTAGTGGAAATTTATGTAGTCATTATTTTGGCTACAAATATGCAACATGCAATTAACAAACGGTTAACACTGAATAGTTTCAGTGCCTTGAACTTTGTATAAAAATGGTTTGTGTTTGCATTGAATAGTTTTAAGAGTATATTAAGCAGTATATTACCAAATTGAATAAATTTATTACATTAATTCGTAACATTACATGCATACCAGCACTCAGTTGCATGTAAATCTGTTGGGGATATTGGTATCAGGAAAAATTACACACTGTATTTCCTGAATGAAATATCCCTTTCACCCTTGATGAATGGTTTCTTCAACAAATATAGATTACAAAAGGTACTAATGTTTTAACTTTGTATAATTATTGTGAGTAATAGATTATATCTTATGTATCTCTTCATAGAACATTATGGGTAATTTCATGATCCCATATTAGCCTTCATAACTTACGTAATTCAATATTAAGGTAGACCATGGGTAATGGGCACCATAAGGAACTGTAAAATTGACAACATAGGACAGTTATATGTCTTCAAGGTCACCTGTATGCAAAATTTAAATAAAATTTACCGTGTGGTTTATGAGTTATGGATATATTTCTGAACTAAGACTTTGCCATTAGAAGGGCTTATTTTCAGAAATGAGAAAACTGTAAATAATCTGTAATATCATCATTATAAAAAATGTTTTTCTGTTGCTCATTGTTAAGAAACAAATAACAACATTCAGGTAACACATTACACAAGCAAAATGTTTGTTTCTAAACAAAATGTTCTTAATACGTATAAAAATGTTACCCTACCCCACCCACTTTTAACACTAATTTTACCATTTCCCTATCTAAAATGCCTTATTCAAAATATCCCTAAAATTTATCGAAATGAGGGTCTGTTTTCAAAGTTTGCCTAAATTTTCTCAAAGGTATATTAGTTGATCATGCGAAATATAAAATACTTTTACCGTGTATTTTTTATTTTATCGAACTTTGAAAATATCTGGTATCATATTTGCTATAAATTTTGGCATTATTTAGCAAAAAAAATACCTAAAATAATTATATAATTTAAATCAAACTTTTTTCTTCCATAAGGGATCAGAGAGATACATAAACAATGATAAAAAGAAAAAAAAGAAAGAAAAAAAAATTGCCCCTTCTGGGGATTGAACCCACGCCCCTCAATTTCAATGAAGTTTACAAGCGATTCTAGCCTATTTGAATACTCTTCAAAGTGGAGGTAATGCATTACCCATGGTCTACCTTAAGAACATATTTGGATGTGTCACAAGCAAAAATTGGTGTGTAACAATTCTTTGGTAAGTGAAGGTATTAGAATATAATTTAAGACTATCTACAATTTTTGTACAGGAACTTTTCATATGCCAATAGATGTTTTTAATTTGCAAAATTCTTGTGTCAAATATTTCCTTGTATACTTTACTTGTATTTTGAACCTATTTACAACATTTTCACTGTTCATAGGTAGTGTCATCATTTGTGTATCAGTTTTATTATTTTTTGTTTGTTTCTTTTTTTCTCTCAACATATGTTGAAGTGTTTTGCTTTGATATTATTTTGTATGATGCAGAATTGACGAGGTTGGGTGTGGTCACCATAGGAGACAGGATTCATCTTATGGATGCTGCAAGAAATTACAAACATGAGCAGGTTCATATTCAAGCCATTGAATTCTTGTTTAATTCTACAATATCTCTTTTATCTTTTGAGGACTAATTTACGCACTTATAGATCACAGACGCTTGGGGGTCAGATCCTGCCACCCCCAAAGTAATACACCCCTATAAACTCTCTTATCAAAAACATCTTAATATAAAAACACAGGGGCGTATCACGTTGGGGCAGGATCTGACCCCCAAGCATCTGTTCTATTGATCATTACCGAAAATTCTACAGAAATCAGTCAAAAATAGCTTAGTATCGTTTTTGGTAAATAGTATGCTTTCTGCACACAATGTGTTGTTTCATTCTATTAGTGTTTGCCCATTGTTACTTTTTTTGTCCAGTGCATAACTTGAAAACTAGTTGTTGGAATTCATTCAGATATAAAAACTTTCTATATTCTAGTAATTTCTAATTAATTTTTTTTCAGGAAGAAGCATGAAAGACAGTAAAAGTAGGTGGGTAAAATGTGAAAATAAAGAATGTCATTCTGGAAGATGAGAGTGGCCATGCCAAGATCACTGTATGGTGATAGTTAACCAGTGCAGACATCAGGACAGGGGAGTTTGTGCAGATAACTGATGTACAAACAAATTTCTACATGGAACAAACTTCCCTGTCCACTACTATGAGCTCTAATTTGCAAGTAAGTAAAAGTTTGCAGCTTACAAAGTGAACATAAAATTTCAGAGATATTATTTTGATTTAAAAATAGCTTAATTATAAGGTTGAATGAAGTTGACCTTTTCAACTTTTTTTTCATTAGTCGAGTTTTATTTATAGATTATGTCAGCAATAAACATCTTTTTATTGGTCACTTCCAACTTTGGCTGTAAATATTTTTGTCCTTCTACATTTCCTGGACATTTTGGTCATTCTGTATTTTGTTGACACAGAGATCACATATTAAAAATTCTAAAATTTTATTTGATATTTTCATAAGGAATTGGTGCACTTAGTTGAAAATTTTAATTTATTTTATGGACTGGTATTTTCATGAACACATTAACTGAGGATTTCTGGAGATATTTACAAAATCTTCATTTCGTTGTAAAACAAAACATGTACATATTTACACAGGTTACAAAGTACACATAATATTTCAGAGATTTCTATTTCATAATTATGTAAAGCTGGTAGGGATATGCCAATTTCCTAATTTACCAACTATGGAATGCTGGTAGGGACATGCCAATTTGCCCTTTGCCAACTGCTGAATTGCTAATATGCTAATTGCCAAATTGCTTATATGCATATTTAACACCGTTTTATAATTTTCAAGACACAGTCCACTCACGGCCACCGTGAGTAATGGCGGGAAACTTGGCACTGTGCCGAAATTGCGGGAAAGTTTTAGATGTAAAATATTACTACAACTGTGGCAGCAAAACCACTAAGAAATGTACATGCGGACAGGCAATTACGTGCGATTATGACTTTAAGTGTACCAGTTGATTTATTAAAGATTTAATATGAAAGAATTTCAAATTTTATTATTTAGGCTGAGCACTGTTTTTCAATGTTACCTTTAACTTCAGCTTATATGTTTCAGACACTGCTGTCTAATGTAGGCTATTATCATTACAAGGAAAATGTAAAAAAAGAGAGATGACAACAGATGCCTCTGGGAAGAAGGTATGTTAAAATGGATAACGTTGTAGCATGTAGGAGACATTAATACATTTATAATTATACTTCAGACATATTTTGTCTGTAAAAAGTAGGCCTAGTGGAAACTATAATATTAGATTGGTTGCATGTATGCGGACTAAAAAGTCTCATTTTTCCCTTTCAAGTTTCTGCAATTGTTGCAGCTTAAAACTGCCTAGCCTCATGAAGTGCTCATGGTGGGCTACTGTTACTGATGAATGTCTTTTTCCATTTTGTGTCAGCAATTTCTTCAAAGGATATCTGACCCACAACATCTGAAAACAGTTTGGTATTTGTTATAATCAAGAGACCTATAGCAAAATTTGATTGCTACAGTAACTTGCATCTGTTCAAATCTATCTGAATTAGAATTTTTCAAAAGGCATTATTTTCTTGTTTGCAGCCCAAAATTGGGAAGATAAGATCTCGTTATCCATGCAAGGGTCAAGTACAAAGACAGTGCCAACTCCTACACATTAGTACATAGAAAATATGGAGGAGGCATACAGAAGCTGCACATAGACAGGAAATGTAGTTCTCCTCGTTACATCGTATAGACGGAGAACTGTTGTCTCAACAGGTGCGATATCAAAACTGGTATAACCAGTTTGGTCATGTGATAAGAGTTATTGACCGTGCGTACGTACGATAAGTGGTCAGTTCTACAGAGACTCTCTCTTGGTACACATCGTTAACTACATTGGGGAGTTTTTATCATGGATCGAGATACTCATGATATTATCAAGGACGTTGTAAGGGACACCGTGGAGGAAAGCAGAGTCTTTACTTCAAAAAATTGGGACGATTTTTGAAAAGATAGTGAACAAAATAATTCTTCTCAATTTGCTAGAATAAGCAATTAAGTGGCATCATCTCAGCCAAAATTTAAAAGGAAAAGCAACGAAGAACAGTTTTGTCATAATAGTAAAGTTATGTTGAAGCTTAATGAAGCTGAGTCTAAGTTAGATAGCAGTAAAATTGAGGAGGCCAAAGGCAGTATTACAACAGGTTTGAGTTTAAATAATAAAAAAATAAATAAATGAAAACGTAACAAATTCTACTCTATTCTAGTTTTAAGAAGCATTTTCAATTTGCAAAAGCTTTGTTTTTATTCAGCAGTTTTAAATTCGGGATATGATAAATAAATTCTTTATTTTCTAATAGTTTTTACATGTCTAATGTGTAGACCACGTGGTCTCAATACACATGTCATTTGTTATACTAGAGGTGAATTGTTATATATGAAGATTGTTGGATATGTTTATTTCTAAAGGAATAATAATAATGATAATAATAATAAAAATAATAAATATAATAATAATACGTATATTATATTAAAAAAATCACTTTGTTTATTCTGTTTTAAAATTTATTTAGATTAATGTCTTTTTGGACATAATTACTTAAGGACGTAAAAAAAGATTGTTTTTATAAGCGGATGTTATCAATATAGATGTTTTTTGCATGGTTAGCAATTACTAATGTTGACTCACCTTTTCTTTAACATTTTTAAATAGGAGATTCATGTTCAATAGTATTACTGATATAGTTGCATTATAAACCTGCATACGCATGTCATAGATTAAAACCCCTTGCGTTTATAATGTGCAGGTTAGAGTGCATTATATCATTTATATATAAATTTAGTGATACTATAAATGGCGGTAGCACGGGTATTTGTTTGATTGGGTTTACGTCACACCGACACAGTATAGGTCATTTGGCGACGTTCAAGCTTTACTGGTGGAGGAAGACCTCAGGTGCCCTTCCGTCAATTATTTCAGGCACAAACGGGCACTTGAGTAGAACCACCTATGATCCGTAAGCTAGCTGGATAGCTTCCTCACATGAAAGAATCCAAAGTCAAGGATTTAAACCCACAGCGGTGACGGGCAAGTGGTTTGAAGTCAACAACCTTAACCACTCGGCCACGGACGCCCCTTAGGACAGGTATTTCATGTTTACTGATATACTGATGAGATACTTAAAGTATAACAAACACAGGAAAACTATGACTCACAGTAATATATTAGTATTTGTTAAATAAGGCTTCTTTCATTTTCAAAGTTTGTAAGAAAATTATGTATTATATTAAGGTGATTTTCAGTTACAAGGATTATATCACAGGAGTTGATTTTATTGACTCATAAAGATTATAGTTTTTATAGAAATTATGTTAAATATTTTTAGTAACAGGCATATTTTTCTTTCAGCCTTGGATATTTTGTCACACCGACAAAATATGATACAGTTCGCGGATGCTAGTGAATTGGGATGGAGAGTAGTTCATGAGTATGAACAAAATCCTCTAGCAGACGACAGTGATTATGAAAAGAAAATGTATAAGGCTTAGGGCTGACAGGAAGTTCAAAGCCGAGAAAAATAAGAAGTCTAAAAAGTTTAGAACCAAGCCTTACACCAGGAGTGTACCTGCACGAGTTACAGGTCAATCCACTTGGCAGCAATTTGTTGTACAGAAACCAGGCTTATGTTTTTATTGTGGAATGAAAAGAATGTCCAGCAAAATAATATAATTTCTACAAATTTGAATAATAAGATGAGTACATTTTGTTTATTTAATAACCATTGCAAAATGCTAGACAGTGATTCATTGAATCATAATTACAGGGAACAAATAAATAATGAGGCAATTAGTTTATGCAGTTGTTGTTGTTCTTGTTGTTTTGGATTATAGTGCACTTGTTGAAAGATGCATTAAGGCCATCCTTAAAAAAATGTTTGTTTGCAGTAACCCGACCCAGAATTTTCAAGGTGGGTAGGTAGGTCGATTTTTTTTTATTGAACTGTACTCCCAAATAAACATGGAATTTCAAAATACTGGACAATATATGCTTTGATAATCTGGTAACAATTAATAAATTGATAACTGAATTCTAATTTAATGAGACCTACATTTTATTTCTTCTATTAAACTTTAAAAGAATGAAAACAAAGCACAAGGCATAATTTTCTGATTCCAAATTTTTTTTTTTATCCAGACCATGAAAAAACAAGAGGGCCATGATGGCCCTGAGATCGCTCACCTGTATATAGGCCCCCCCCCAACCCCACCCTAACGTTGCAGGGCCAATTTAACCCAAGGGCTTTTATTTGCACAAACTTGGTAGACAACCATAAGAAGATGTTTCATGCTAAACATCTAAGCTCTAGCTCATTGGGCTTTTTAAAAGAAGATTTTTTTTAAGTTTTTACTATACACATATAGTTAAAAACAATGACACCCCTTGGGCCAGGCCAGTTTTGACCCCAGGGCTTTTATTTGAAAAAACTTTGTAGACACTTACTAGAAGATGTTTCATGCTTAATATCTAAACTCTAGCTATTTGGGTTTTTTTCAAAGAAGATTTTAAGTTTTTGCTATACACATATAAAGAAAATCAATGACCCCCGAGGCGATGCCAATTTTGACCCCAGGGCTTTTATTTGAACAAACTTGGTAGACACCTATTAGAACATGTTTGATGCTAAATATCTTAGCCATAGCTCTTTGAGTTCTTTAAAAGAAGATTTTTTAAGTTTTTACTATATGCATATAAGGAAAATCAATGACCCCCGGGGCGGGGCCAATTTTGACCCCAGGGCTTTTATTTGAACAAACTTAGTAGACACTTATTAGAACATGTTTCATGCTAAATATCTTAGCTCTAACTCTTTTGGTTCTTTAAAAGAAGATTTTTTAAGTTTTTACTATATGCATATAGGGAAAATCAATGACCCCCGGGGCGGGGGCCAATTTTGACCCCAGGGCTTTTATTTGAACAAACTTGGTAGACACCCATTAGAACATGTTTCATGCTAAATATCTTAGCTCTAGCTCTTTGGGTTCTTTAAAAGAAGATTTTTAAAGTTTTTACTATATGCATATAGGGAAAATCAATGACCCCCCGGGGCGGGGCCAATTTTGACCCCAGGGCTTTTATTTGAACAAACTTGGTAGACACCCATTAGAAAATGTTTCATGCTAAATATCTTAGCTCTAGCTCTTTGGGTTCTTTAAAAGAAGATTTTTTAAGTTTTTACTATATGCATATAGGGAAAATCAATGACCCCCCGGGGCGGGGCCAATTTTGACCCCAGGGCTTTTATTTGAACAAACTTGGTAGACACTCACTAGAAGATGTTTCATGCCAAATATCTAAGCTCTAGCTCTTATGGTTTTTTAAAAGAAGATATTTAAAGTTTTTTCTTTCCGTTGCCATGGCAACCAGAGTTCTGCATGGAATTAAATTCTTTGAACAATTTTTAAAGGTGACCACCAAAGGAACATTCCTGTGAAGTTTGGATGAAATTGGCTTAGTGGTTTATGAGGAGATGTCATTTAAAGTAAAAGTTTACGGACGACGGACGGACGGACGGACGGACGGACGGACGGACGCCGGACGAAAAGCGATCACAAAAGCTCACCCTGTCACTTTGTGACAGGTGAGCTAAAAATTTGAGTAGGGACAAATTTTGTGAGTCGGTCGCATTACTGCAAACAAACATTTTTTTAAGGATGGCCAAAGCCTTACACATTCTAGTCTTTTTAAATAATAATATAGAATAATAATAATAATAATAATAATAATAATAATGATAATTGCTTTAACTATGCTCTTCCTCAAACGAAAAGAGACTTATTGGCATGTAAATCATAGAGACAACAGATTGTCCCCCATGCTTTTGGTAATCATTCCATGTGTGGCGAGTAGTGTGGTTTCCAAAATAATCAAGACAGATACACACATAATACATTATCAAAGGATTTATGTGGTGAGGACCTGAGAAAAGACATGGATCATTTAGCCAAAACTGTGAAAAAATTGCACCTGGCAGTTTGACAAAGGATGTAGAATCTTTTAATAATATGGTGGCATCCAAAGCACCTAAGAGATGTCACTTTTCAGCTACAAGTAACCTCTTGTCTCATGTTGGATTTGCTGTTGCTAAAAAAACTTGGGTAATACCTATGTAAGAAGAATAAATGCCAATAAAGGTTATCTCCCAGAAAAGTGTACTTGACAGAGGCTATGTCAAGGGACACTGAAAGAAAATGTCAACATATATACAGTAATAAAAAAGAAAATTAACTTAGAAAAGAACAAAGAAAATCAAAGAAAAGGTTGGATCTTGGTATAAAAGAAAAGAAAGAAGGCACTACATATAAGACAGAAGTGGCCATCGATCACCATGCAGATGACACCTCAATTCCAACATACTTTCAGCCAACAGAGTTATCTCAATTACCTCAGCTGAAAATATTGTATTTTTTGACAAAGAAACATGCTTTATTGCTAGAGACACGGACATATTGCAAATAGCAGCTTGTTATAAAGATAACACATTTGAACAGTACATTCTTCCAAGAAAACCAATAGCGCCACCATCATCCAGAGTTACACGACTTACATCAAGTGGGGGTGTTCTTTTTTACATGGGTCCCCTGTTCCAGCAATACCACTAAAAGAAGCTTTAATTCGCATAAGTACACACTATGTATTTAGAGGAATGTCTCCTTTTCACACTGACCTCAATTGTACCATTGATTTTAAGTAACCATAAACTTTAGGTACAGTCCAGTTCCTTATATTTTAAATATTTCAATTTACCATTTGATACTGTCATTTCTTTTTGCAAAAGAAGCTCCTGGAGATGAATTTTCAAATGAGACCCAATGTACAGAGAACCCGAGTTCTCCACGTCCACAGAGCCATTGCCAGTCATTGCTGAGTACCTTTAAACCATGAATAATACATGCACATACAGCTGTTTTTACAATGTATCCTATTTGGGATATTTCAATGCACTTCAGACGACGAAAGCGATTTTTCGGTCAAATATTATCCAATCATAATAAGTTGCGCACAGAAGAAATTGTTCACTATATATTATGTATAAGGAAAAAATATACAAGGGCCATAATTCGGTCAAATATTATCCAATCACAAAACCCCAACAATATGTGCCAGGCACTTGATAACAAAGCTTCTAAGAAAGTTTGGTCAAAA